GCTTAATTTCGACTTGCATTATCCGAGTTCTCGAGTATCTCCCGATATTATTTCAACTGTGAAGGGAGAGGTTCGATCTAGCGGCGCGTCTCTTTTCCTCGCGAGGAAACGTAGACGAAGATTTTCCTGCAAGGGAAGGCCAAAGTGGAGAATCGGTAGAAAATGGAGTTACGAGAAAGAGAAGGGAAGAGAAGGGAAGGAAGGGGCAGGAAGGGATGAACGAGAGAGAAAAGGTTAGGTTAATTAAGGGAAGATTTAACGACGGGGTTTGTCCACCCACGTCCATTCGCGTTCTTCCTTCTTCGCACCCCATTCGCCGTGGGAGTTTGGCTCGAGGTAACGCGGAAAGTTCGCGTGGATTTCTGAAATTCTAATTCGCTCCTCTAATCTGCGCTATCCTTCTTTTCACCGACGTCCGCCTGCGAGGCACGCCTAGCTTCAGGAAGCGCTCCGCTCGTCTCTATCTTCTCACAGAGAGGCGAAAGAGAGGCGGCAGATAATTACGTACATAAGAGTGATCAGCGATTCAAAGAGGCGATAATTGGAAAAGGGAGGAAAGAAACTCCCGCGAACGGGAGAAACGTTCCGATGTTCTCCTCCGAGATTTGCATTGAGGAACATTGCGCAACTTCTCGTCAGCGCGTTTCGGGGATGAAACTGCGTTTCCGTGTCTTGCGAAACTGGTGAGATAACGACACGCATTTCAGGGGTAGAAGGGGGATGGAGGTTGCTCGTGAAACTCACGTAAGTATAACGAACACTAACTATTGCGCCGCGGGTCGGCGCGTAATACACTTACATGATTACGACGGATAATAATATTGCGCCTAGTATATACCGCAACACAGCGCGCGCTGTAACACGATAGCTGTAACAATACCGTGCGAATACTGACGCATTAGCCTAATCTATAAGACGGTGCGCCTCACGCGCTAGTGTCTCGAGGTTGTGTGAGTTAATATATCACAGTCGTGTCCGCAAGAACATACGCGTGTAGTCCATCACTTGTACACGTACCTTATGTAATCTGCAACATCCTTTACATAAGGAGAAGCCCCGTGGCGATTACAATGTACCTCGTGTAGTTACAGTAAATTTGATATTCGTTTCTTTGACGATTTAAAAACGTGATATTTTACACAGTTATATTTATACGCAATATATTTTTTATACATAATAAAAATTATTAAAATTAAAAAATTGTTATTTTTCTTAACTCACTGTTTAGTACAGAAAATCACTGATATGTTTATGTAAATTTTTATAAACGAACCCATAAAAATAATTTGGCAGTATTACGAATCAAAACAAACTCGATCAACTTGTAATTCATTGTAATTCAATTGTTGCAATAAAAACTGTAAATGATATGTTAAACTTCGTATTCGAGTTACATGCTTCGTATTAAAAATAAAACCTTTTGTTGAAATATTGAAAGATATATCTTGCGTATATTTAATTTAATATAAGTATTATAACGCATCAGTATGAAACTTAATATTTTACAGAGTTATATTTACGCGCGATATTGCATATATAATACAAATTATTTAAATTTTAAAATTATTTTACATCATTTAGCTGCTAAATAATGAGTAAGATAACAACTTTAAAATTTAAATAATTTTTATTATATATGCAATATACCGTGTGTAAATATAAACAAACCCGATCAACTTGTAGTATATTACAACTTGAATACAAGACTGCCGCAAGAGAATATCTGTTGGTAAATGATACCACCGTTAAATTTCATATACGTATTTCCGAAAGTACAGCAAAAAAAGTGCAACAAGAATCTTAAAGTGTTTCTCATGTCTCGAGAAGATTAAAGAGACTGACGGAGTACTCTGTGGAAAATAACAAAAGTTACACGGCATGTCGGGATTCGCTCAACGTCGGCGGCCGCATTCATGCAAACTTAAACGTCGAAGAGCTCAGATACGTATTCTTCCCGGCGTCTCTCGGCACCGCAATATGCGAACAAGGGAAAGAGATAAAGCGGAAGAGACGCGCTCGGACATTGCATCGCTGGCATAGGATGTTGCTGGTTATCGCGGAAAAGCCCAGGAAAATCGGAGAGAGAAAGGAAAAGATAGACTGAAAGAGAGAGGAAAGGAGGGAGGGCAAAACGTTGAAGAGAGAGGAAGAGAGGGGGAGAGAGAGAGAGAGAGAGAGAGATGCAATCTAGAAACTCTCGGGAACCAATCTTCTCTGATGAAAATACCTTGTCCTCTGTGAGGTTTGATACCGCACCCGCGGGGGCCAATTTCGTTTGTTACTTTTTGGAATACCGCGAGTACGTTTGAATTGGACGGAGTCCTTCGGTCCTTGCGAGGCAGATTCCAGGGGAACGTTTCGAGGGTACGTGCAGGCGAGTGTAGTCGGCAAAGCAGGGATAAGGAGGTGAAAAATGCATTGTCCCCTCAGCGCGTGTCACTTTTGCGATCAGTTCTCTCGGCGAAAAATATTGGTGCAGCTTAATTAGAGCTCACAACCACGTGCGAAGACGATTGCACAAAGGAAAAGCGCTCGGGATGTTAAACTTCCACGAGAGAGATATAAAGCGTGTATAAAAGCTTCTCGTACTTTTTAATTGACACGATGTGTTTTGTATGGAATGTTGATGTAATTATCTCCGAGAGACAATTACAAATAACATACATGGAGTTGGAATTATGAAAGTCGCAGTAAATTGTAAGCTTTCGTAACGATAGAAAAATTCTCGCGATAGAAAAATGGATCTCAATCTCGTGAAAGAATATGTCAATAAAACCATCACACATCCGTTTACTCTAGGATAACCTGTATTTGCGGGTCTTATATGGATATTCCATGTGGGGTGTTCCGAGTCGAACATTTCAGAAACACTACGCGCGCCCGGCTATTACTAGAAAGGGTTAGATCGCCTGAGGGATCAGCAGGGGAATTTCATGCTGGTCGTCGGGTCTTCTGGGAATCTGCACTGCGACACTTACATTCTCACTATCCTTATCCCTTTCCATGTCGGTTCGAATCTCTCTTTCTCTCTCTCTTCCTTTTGCTCTCTTTTTTCCTCTTGATACCCTCTCACCCTGTCACTATTCCGCTTCAGTCGATAGCAGCGGCGAAGAGAGGCGCCAAAGATGGATTCCGGTATCGGAAGGATTGGGAGTAGGATTTCTCAGGTTATATTCCTGCCGCGAGCTATACGGGATATCCCGAGCGTACTTTGCTATAAGCGACTGCTCCGAGCGGGGTTTCCATGAAAGTTACACCTTCGTATGATGTGGACTTTATGATCAACCCGCACGACGTTGTACTCGCGCCGCGTACATCCGGGTAAAGAAAACGCACCGTGGTACCCGGATATTACTTCCAGTTGCAAGAGAAAGGAAGCAGAAGCAGAACCGCTTTATACGTAATGTAATGGTGAACAAGAATTTTTGCGGATGTCGTTCACGTAATTAGGACTTGTTAGCTCATCGTGCTCGTTGCGGAATACATACAGAATCTGACATACCACATTTGAGAGAGGCCCTGAGAACGTCTTTAGGACGTAGAACGTCATATGTCTTCTTTCCTTAAACTCGTATCAGCTTACGGGTTGACGATTACGACTGACGATTGCTCAGTTCTATTTCAGCTAATCACGATGAACTTGCTGCATCGTGATTGGCTGAAATAGAATCTGACAACCATTAATCGTCAATCCCCAATCCGATACAAGCATTAGAAGTTTATGCTGTATGGGATGTCACACTGATAATAGGTCTTTTTTTATTTTTGCTAGACTACATTAAGAACTCTCGCTTTCGCCAAATATTAAACGTACCCCAAAAATGTACACTAGTTTAGCTATAAAAAACTAATAAAATATTCTTATAATGTAAGAATCTGAATTTGTCGCGTCCAAGTTCTGTTTGAAACGATGCGCTCGGGAAAGCTTGGATCATGCGATTCACGTGGCGGAAAAACCGCAGGCGCGTAAAAGAAAATCGCAACCACGATTGGCTCATGCATTTTTCAGCGGTCGCTTCAGTATTTGCTTGATCGGACGTTTGTACGTCCCTTCGACGTCGGGGCGTACCTTTCGACGGGTTCTGCGAAAGGCAACACGCGGTGATAAAATGGTCGTACGCGAGGGAGTGTGTGCTCGAATAAGTAGCGCGAATAGAAAGTAACGCGTACTCCGGTTCAGTCGCAAGTTCGCGACTGAAGTAAGAGATCGATCGGAGCCGTGCCCTCGCGAAATAGCGACCTATAGTGTACCTATACCCTTCATGTTCGATCTGATCGCCACGAATCGTTTCTTCGCGGCGGCGCGGCGTAACGTGCGTGCCGAGCTTGATCGATTTCCCAAGCGAAATGTAACCACTATTTCTCTCCTTCCTCGGTTCTCACTTTTCCATCCAACGTCCAGGAGAGCGTAATATGCGCCTAAGACTTCCCTTTAAAGCCGTAGTAAATTAGTTTGCTGCGTGATCTTCCTTTGATTGAATGGAAAAGGAGAGCGACAGTCTGCTTTTGTGTAAATGTCGTTGCTATTACTATTGCCATATTATTTATTATGATTGATATGAGATGATATTTAATCTTCGTAATGTTGACTTTATTTTAAAAGTTTATTCCTGTTAACTTATGCAAAAGTTTGAAACAAATATATTTGTTTAAAAAAACCTCCTTTCAATTAAATCAATCTAGTTTTATATTGCATATATCTAAAATCGAAAGTTTGATGAAACCACAGAATTTAAAAATATTGAAAGCCGTATAGAACTTTAACAATTTAAAGATAAAAATTGAAACTAAATTTATATGAAATCAATTCGTTAAAGTAGAGTTCATAAAGAATTATGGATTTAACTTACTCTTTGTTTAATTGTTTTAAATTTAATAACTATTTTTATACTCTTAGATGGAATACATATAAAAAAAATAATACATATAATAATATATATAAAAAGAAATTATAGATTCAGAATATATATTGCATTAAATTCTTACAGACTAGTACTCACCGATCACGGTCAAATTATACCGGAAGCTGCGCGTCTGGCCTTTCCGGAAATCCACTCTACACCTGTACGTCGCCGCATCGTGCCGCTTTATATCATCGATCACCAGAACCGCCGGGCTTGGAAAAGATGTTCGGAAAAAGGCGCGTGGACCAAAAACGCCGGAATCCGATGAGTGGTGTGCCTTCGTCACTGGCTTCTCTCGCGCATCGATTCTGTAATGAAAACAAAAATCCGTTTTAGAAACTGTTAAACTTGTAATCCAAGAATATAAAATATTCCATAATTATAGAGTAGATGATAGGCGTTATCCCATTATCTCTTACTGAATAACCGCTATCGAGAAATAATTTTAGTAACCGTTATCAAATTTAAAGAATAACGGTTAATAGACTAAAGGGTTATTTTCATCAAGCCATATTTTTACAAGAATAAAAATGCTTAAAATTCTAATACTGTTATAAGACTATTTGGAAAAATTTCCAATCGGAATCGTTCCATTATTTTTTACATTTCGCATTAAAAAAAAAAGAGATATCGAATCGAATCTTTTCAAATAATTGTATACCTTTCCAGCTCGAATATTCTGGTAAGTTCATGATTTAATAAACTGGTTAGCTATGTTACAAACTAATAGCTATGTTTATCAGGAATCAGCGATTAGTAAACATTTAGTAATTTTAATTGTTTGTGGAAATATACTTTTAGATTCTCGATATATTTAAATTAATATATATCAAATGCAATAATCATTAAGACTGATAATCAAGTTACTCTTTTCTAACAATGTTATAGTAACCGCTTAATCAAATAATTGTTTAAATAACCGGTTATTTTGAAGCAACAATTATTATTATAACCATTTAGTAAAAATAATCATTTCATATAATATAAATGATATCCTTTCTTACAAATATATATATTATCTTTTTTTATGCTAGATCGATCTCGTACAATTTTCAAATTCTTTTTTAATTATTTTGCACTTTGCGTCCAATTCTTTAAGTTCAATACGGCGCCATTGTATACTCGGGTTTCTTTTTCTTCCGCACAATTGTAAGACAATTACTAGAAGTTTCAAGAATTCACGGCACGATCGGTGGTATTCCGATATGTACATAGAAAACGATCGTACAATTTCCGGCCAATGAAATTCCAACCTCACGCAAGGAGATTCTGCTGAGCGACGGCAGACAATGGGGATTGCGGGGTTGAAAGGAACGACGGGGAGAAAAAATTTGCATTGCGATTCATTGACCGCCCCAACGAACCATGATAGCATGTATCTGAGTATTACCCGCTTACGAGCCCAATATAATTATTTCAAATCGATGGAATAATTATCGTGCACGGTGCAGAGAGAATGGGGCGTGGCGCGTCCAGGTAGCCGGCGATAACGCAATTAAATCGCAGCCGTGTTATCCGATATTTTGAACGGACACCGCTCATTTCATCGATATTGCGTAGATACTAGCCTAGCTGAAGAAAAAGGACCGATATGCGCGATCGAATCGAATCGAATCAAATCGTACCACGCCGGCTGATTACAATGGATAATTGGAAAATATAATCATGCCGCTCGGTATAATCTACGGCATTTACGTTATATTATGGTTTAGCGCTCATGTAAAATATATGCGGACGTTTTGCGAAATTGAGCGACCGCTGAGATGCAACACGAACGATTGAATTAAATTCTGATAGCTGATTCTCTCTCTCTCTCGAAAACTTCTTAATTTGAAATGAAGACGCGCGCGATAAGAAGATTCACAAAGACAGTACAATGACAGCAACATAGTGCGCGAAATAAATTTGCGAAATAATGGAAATCAAAGAAAGCACTGAAAATGAGATAAAACTGAGGTGGAATAAAGAGAAATGTTCACAGTTGATTTTTGCCGCTCCGTGTTTCGCGGTAATTCTGAAATGAGATTTTACGAGTGCGCGTTCAGCGATTCCCGTTTGACATTAACTGCAATTATATGCACGCGTAATATAGTAACTATATATTAATGGGAACGTAAAATTTCCCGGTGGCGCAATATCGGATCTCGTTTGACGTAAATGTAATGTCAAAAGCTTCCTGTCGGTGAAATTACGTATTTTATTAACGAAAGTGGCGATATATACGTTACGAAATTCACGATCAGTACGGAAGGAAAGTTATTATTATTAATTTCACACATATACCCACGTACACATACAGATATACGCAATTTAGCAGAGGATCCTATCCATATCATCATAAAACTACTTTCGTCGCAACGAGTAACACATTATGTCGTCGTAATTATTAATAAAAGGACATTTCCTCTCATGACAAAGATCAGATTTAACGTACCATAATTATGTCTCGCAAAATACCGCGACGTTAATTACCACGTCATGTCTCCTGATATTTGCGACATAGAATAATTCGGGCGATTCTAATGTGAGAATACGTGGAACGAATGCGTTTGTATTGTGTTTAAATTTAGAAAAGAAAAAAAAATCGCATTTCGTCCGTAATAATGTACCGTACTTTCTTCTCGCTTTGAATGCGTTCACAAGGCTTATGCGCTGCCAGCACACAAGAGTTTTTATTCCCTTTCCTTGGATTTCGCACAGATGAGGGACGCGGGAGAAATGCGATGCAGTGGATGTAGTTGAAAAGTGGCGGGAATAGAAGAAAACGACGGAGACGAAGGGCGGGAAGATACGCGGCCAAGAGATGCAATAAGGAAATGCGTATCTTTCGTCTTCCCTTTATGCGCCGGCAGGACCGTTCCCTTATCCTTCGGCAGGCGTTCTCGTCGAGGAGCACTCCGGCGAAAGACCCTCGATTCACGTCGACGTGGGCGCCAAGTAATACGGAATCGATGTCTGTTTTATGAAACGTTTTATCTTACCGCGCAGCCAGCTTTCTAATATTTCGCTCGACTCTCGCCTACCTCGTTCACGATCTTTTCCTTCGAACTATCGTTCTCCATCTTCACCATTTTCTCTCGCTTCATCACGTTAGGCTGTTCTTTCTCATACAACTGCGTTCCGCTTCAATTATCTTTCCGAGAATGATACATACTTTTTAAACCAGTATAGTAAGGAACCAGACATAGATGCACGTCCCTTAAGATGTGCAAGCTATTGGAGTAAAAAAAAAATCAGATCATAGATGTATTTCGATGTCAATATAATTTTTGATGTTTCGATAAGACAAAAAGACAAATATTTTCAGTGAAGGCGCGACATTTTGATAATCCGAAAAAAGTCAGAATAGAAAGAATCACTATCTTAAAAATGTTCTCGTACTACTTCCTAGCCAATAGACAGTTTTAAATTATTATGTATATATAAAATAATTAAAATAATAATATAAAAGCATTATCAACAATATTCGCTAAAGTTATTATGCATAATTATTTCTTATGTATAATAAATATTTATAATATAATTTATTAAATATTAAATAATTTATTAAATTATCCTTCCACTGATGAGAGATCTTCTAATTGATTTTGTCAAACATTAACTTTAATTTTGTGTACTGACATCGTGCTTGGCTCATTGCCTTGTGTTATGATTTACCCATATAAATTTAAAATGCTGCTATATATATTCGTAAGTTTAATATTAATATTTCTATACAGGTAATACGTATATAAAAATGTATATGTATGTGTTGTTCATTTGACAAATATTCTTGACAAATAAATTTCTCTCAAATTGTACGATTAATTTAGATATGTAACTTAACCAGAATAAATTTCAGTATTTACTTTGTATTTAGAACTTTTTCAAATTTCTGTCTAATATGTAAATGTAGAAAATCAAATTAAGAAAAAATATCTACGGAATAAGGTTTTGCATATTATATTTGTAATTTAAAATTTCATACATTTACAATTAAATATTTTCAAAACGGTACGACAAAAATTAAATGAAATGTTTTCAAGATATTATTGACATAATCAATCTTTATATGTGTATCATGTGATTTGTTTTATATTTCATCAAATGAGAGAACCTCTTTAAAAATAAAAAGATAAAATATACAGGAGCGCAATAAATGTGCATTGAAAAAAATTTTGGTCCAATAAATGATCGTTAATCAATGTCCGACTTAATGTAGTTAGTTTATTGATACAATAATTGAATTCATTTATATAACTACATATTCATTCTTGCAATAAATTCTATAATAACAGTTTTATATATAAAAAAAAAATCTAAATTATTATGAGAATTTATTGGACCAATTTTCATTAATTTAATGAATATTTTATTGTATTTATACTTTGGTTCAATGTGAATACTATTGAGAGCTTGAGAGCTTGCGAACGAGCGACGGTCGCTTTTCTTTTTTCAGACACTAATAGATTTTATTCGGGACGCAGTATATATGAATTGAAAAAAGGAAAGGAGAACCATGTTTAAGAAATCTGCCTTTCTGCGGTTGTGCATAACTGAAAACGCCGGCCATTTCATATTTAAATCAAATAATTTCGGAGTACAGTTAAATTCATTTCCAATATTCCGCCCTAATCCACGGTCTCGTGCACCTTTCTTCCCTCCTCGCGCATCTCCTATGCGACTCTCCGCCAACGATACATCCTCGTAAAAATGATAAATGTCCGACGAGCAAAGAGTAAATAGCGACGGAATGAATGTACGGTTCGCCGCTTTTGCATAGCGTACAAGAAAATTATACGTCTCTAAATATTTATTGGCGCATTAATTTTGTGACGTGTCTTTAACCTGGATTGCCACCCTTCTCCTCCTCCACCAGTCCTCGCGACACGCAGGAGAAAGGTGGGGAAGGTGCAGCAGAATAATTCCCGTTGCGTCTCGTTTGTTTACCGTGGCACGCCTATGGGATAAAGTCGCCGGGATGACCCTCTTTTACAATTTTCTAGATTACATGAATTTCGAGAGCGGCTGAGTGCTTTTTAATATTTCGCTCTACTTTTTCCCGTGCATGCTCTCCATGTGTGTGTGTGTGTGTGTGTGTGTATACATATATACGGTCTCTTCCCATCTACCTTTCTTCTTTCTTTACACACACGTCCTTCCCTCATCCCCTTCTTCACCGTTCTCTCTCAGTTTTTTCTCACGGTCCTTTATAGCGAAAATAACACGCACGGCCTTGGGGCAAAGGGTAAATAGCAAGAGAATAAATGCATGGCACCCGTTTTACGGGTATGCGCAATAAAATTTTTTTTCTTCCTTAACTCGCTCC